GCTTCACAGTACAGTACAGCTGATGGGAAAGAGAAAGGAAACAGGCTCAGGTTAAACAATATTCATATCTTTTTATTTTGCTAGCAGCAATTCTCTGTATCTCTGGAATCACTTTCACCTCCAGTTTTGTGGCTTCCCTGCAATGAAGTCAAAGTTGACACAGACTTCTCTTGCTGTGTCCTGTCCCCTGCATACTGATCCCATGGGCTGGGCAAGGGGGGGCCTGAAACATGGCACAGGCACAGGGGACAGTACATGGCATCCAAACCAAAATGAATGCAAAAGAGGAGGTAAATGGAGCTTTTTAGCTGATTTTCATTCCTGACTGATTACTTAACAGGCCAACTACTTAGCATGAGCATTGTCTGCTTTAAGTGTCAGCACATAAAAGTGCACCCATGACTATTAGCAAACAGGGCTGGAACATAAAAGCTGCTGTGCAGCCTGTGCTGCTCAGAATACTCATTTAGCATGAGACACTGGACATAATGACATCTGCATTTAAGTCCATTATACCAATGCATGTGATTTTTCTTTTCCTGGTTAGCAAATGGCCTCATATTTTTCAAATTATCCTCTGAGGTTCTGAATGACATGGTGAAGGATAATGAACCAGACTCAAGGATGGATGAGGCAGAAAAGGGGTGTTCTCCTTTATCCATTGCTTTGTAATAATTAAATAAGGGGCAGTCCACTGACAGAGCCACCAAGCTCTGCTGACAGAGCATCCCAACCAGATTGGAGTCAGCCATCTGGGAAAGATGTGGATAGAAGTGTTTTGGACTAGCTGGTTCCCACTGGAGTCAAGCTTCACAAGAAGTAGGATGATATCACTGCCCCAGGACAGATATATACCTAAAGTAGGCAAAATATCCATTTGCTGTGGTCATGTTTTGAAATATCACTGTGTTGAAGATCACAGAGAAATATTTTTACTGTTTGGCAGGTTCTGCTTGGAAGTAAACACAGGGGCTTGTGCTCTCGAATGCTATGACAGTCTTATCTTCCCAGTCAGCAACTTGACTGCTCGGAGCCTGGTCCCTGCTGGGTGATAGATGGCCAAGTTCAGGCTGGTGGGATGTGTCCGGGGCTGTGTGTTAGAGTCGATGCTAAATAGTTTTTGTTTGAGAGTTTCTTTTGGTATGTGGAAATTGGAAGTGCTGCTCCTTTCTGCTCTCACTGTTCACACAAGCACCCCACCAGCTCAGGTGCTTGACAGTCCTGAGCTCTCCAATCCCCACCACAAGGATGAAGCACTAGTGTTCAAACACCTTCCCAACACTGCTGAATTTGCCCATCTTCACACACACTTATGAGACCAGCAGCAGCAGTCAGGGATTCTCCATCTCCTGAAGAACCAGTAATCAAACTGGTGAGCCCAGGACCCAGACAGGCATTTCTCTGAGCCACAAGTCAGAGGTGGGTGGGCCTGTGTGTTATGCAAGGGAGAAGTTACAGTAATACCAGTTTCCCATCACCCAAGGATCAAGAGTTTCCACAGACACCACTGTGAGTTTGTGCTTGGCTGGCTACAATGGGAATTACCATTCATCATGGCATGAGGGGGCTTAAACTGTCTCAGAGCACGTTTTCAGTTAACCAACGCTTAATAGAGAGCAATCTGATCAGTACAAGACACATCCTCGTAGCTAAAAAGCCTTAAATGTTTCAGATGCAGCAGCTTCTGAAGTCTTCCAACACCTTCTGCAGTACTCATTATTATTTCTCTGCTGTTGAGAGGGAGCAGCCAATGTAGGCACTTTGTGTTCATTATCCAGAGTAATATTCACTGGTCTATTTAATTAATGCTTAGAAAATGTACTTGATGAATTATAAGTTACTGGGGCAGGGGAGGGAGGGGGAATGCAGAAATAGATTAACGTTGGTTGATCTTTTAAACTTTCTCCAAAATTATTTCTTTGGTTTTTACACACAGCAAGTCTCATGGGGTGTCCCCCCTTCCTACACAGCTAATTTCTCACAGCCACAGTTGCTGACTATCAAGGAACCTCTTGTAGGAGCTGCTGAAGGGAAAGCTGTTTGCTGGGGTGTACTGCAAGAGATGTAGGTAGTGGAGCAGAGGTGTTGGGCACATTATACTGCCTCTTTCTCTATCCAGCCCATCCATTATATCCTGGATACATCAGCTTCACACCACATGGAGGAATGATTCTCTCAGGGGAGTCCTCAACAGAAATCTGAGAGTGCCCCTCGAAACTGATGATCTTGAAATATGCACAAGAAAGGGCTCATAAGCTTAACAGGCAAAACAGACAGAAGGGGGCAGAGAAGGGAGCGGTATTTTCTAAACACAGCACACAACAGCTCAAGCAGCTAAATTATTTTCATAAGGTCACGAAGGAAACCTGTGTCTGAGTTGGGAATTTAACCCAGATTTTTGTGCTTGGTTCATTGCCTTAGCAGCTGGATGCTTCTGCCTGCCTCCTCTGTCACTGACACTGGTCATTGTAAAGCGTGATTTCCCTCACCACATTTGGAAAAGGTGGTAAGAGGAGGAGATCTGACAGAGATTCACCATCAATGAGGGGAAAGAAAGAGTCTTTCCCTCCCCTTTCTGTCGTTACAGCACCAACTGTGAATTCAAGTGAGTCTACTCCAGTTCGGGTTTTCTGAGCTTGCCACACAGAAAATCCCATAAGAGTTCCCTTTGCAAATCTGTTTTCTTTTAAGTAGCACCACTTTCCTGGTGCACATGTTTTGCATTTGCCTGGGTGCATGTGTGAGAGCCAGTAGCTCCCCAGCTCACTCTCCACCCTGGAGATCGCTTGTGAATTGGGTTTTCTTTGTGAGGGTGAAGTATCATGTGCAGGCTCTGTGCTCCGAGAGGCTCAGTTTTGTACAGAAAATGATCTGTGTAGGTGTCCATGTGGAAAGCCTTGGGAATGCTCCTTGCAGCCTTAAGAAATGCAATATTGCCCTCTAGTGATGGTGAGGATGGTCTCGTCTGAGCTGGTGAAATAAAAAGCGTTTTGGCTAACCTTCAATGAGATTCAAAATGGAATAAATGTTCCTGTTTTCTTCTGACCTTGGAATTAAAGATCCTACCGTCATAACTCAGAGAGCACTGGTAGTGGTGATAAGCAGGGAAGGTTGTTCAAGAATCACAAAATGTGTAAAATTAGCATTATTCTCCATGAATTCAGCAGATGGAAAGCCAGCTGCACTCACAGAGCAGATCTAGTAAGAAGGTTCCTTTTTTAATGCAAAATTTTTTGCATTTCTAAAGCCAAGTATATTTTTATTTGGAAAAAAAAAGGAGAGAGAGAGGTAGTTTCAAGTACAGGAGATGAAACACTGTGGAAACCAGAAAAAATAAGAAAAAGTCTAATCTTTGTGTTTCATCATCACTGTATTCAGATGTTGTGAGTTTTGGGGGTTGGAGGTTTGGGGGGCTTTTTTTTTTGGTTAGTTAGTTGTGGGTTTTGTTTGGTTTTTTGATTCAAGTTTTATTTTTATTTCTTGTTTGAACCCTTCTGGAGGGGGAGAAGGAGGGATAATAGAGGAGCCCTTCAGCAGATGAACAAAATGTTTCTCTCACTAGTAAGCAAGGAGCTGGTTCTGTCAGGAAATAGAGTGTTTTGAATACCCTTCAGAAGACACTCAGGAGCATTACAAAGCCTTGACCTTTGCCCCTAAGAAGGTTGTGTTTAAGGCCCTTGCTTCTGCAAATAGCTCAATGTGGACAATCCCTCCAGTGCTTATGTGAAGCCCCAGGAGCGTCCACAGGTCTCTCGGCTCCTCTCCCAGACAGCAGGGTCAGGGAGTGAGGTTTCTCTGTAACTGGACCCCACATGTCAGCCCAGATTCCTCAGGAATTTGGTTATTTTAAAGTCCCTGATGCAGACATCATTTCCCTGGCACCTTCCTCATTCTAATTGCCTCTGACAAGGCACGATAGTACTGGAATTTATGTATGGAACATCGCTGTCACTGCACTGCAACTTAAAGATCACTGCAAAGCAGCATGGGCAGACAGAGCTATTTATTTTTCCTCTCTTAAAACACTAAGTGAATGCAAAATTCACTTCAATCATTCACTGAACCTATCCAGCTTTCTCTGTTACTACAGGAACACACCGCATACCTGTACATAACGATCAGTCATCGCATTGACAGTATCCTGAACTTTTTCCCCCCAGAAGTTCACAAGGCAGAATTGGAGCCAATTCAAGCCAGTGACAAAACTCTCATGCACAGAGTTCACTGCCAAAGGATGAGACCTTCCAAGCAGGCAGGACATGGAGTACTGAATAAATGCATACATATCATGGGCTTTCAACATAATTGTAAATATTTTGGGCGATCAGCCAACACAAGAGAGTGGATTTTTCTGACTCAGAGGGTTTGGGCTTTCTTCTGAGGTCTGAGTAGTCATCTCAGCTCCAAAAAAAAATAGATTATTATGATTCCCTTTCATCCCCAGCATCACCACTCATAGTACTGGTGAATTGTGAAAAGTTAGTAACTACTGCTAGTTGCTCACTCAGTGACCATAGCTACATAATGTAAAGAAGCCTTTATAAAATTTGCCTTATGCAGAGCTGAAGGCGACAGGAGGGGAACCCAGAAGTGCATTTCTGTCAGTGAATATTTTTACAAGAAGCAGGTTAATAGCACAGAAATGGTTACGATAGGTGGAGTGAAGAAGAAATGCCAAAATGTGATGGCGAACAAAGGGGAACCTTACAGGTAAACAAAATAAAGGATTATTTTGAGCCTAAAAACAAAACAAAGGGTTATTTAGAAACTAAGTCATTCACTTGATGATCCAGTTCCTTTGGTATGGCTGGGGTGGTGGTGACTGATCATGCCCTGGAGCCTGCACAAGCCTCCTTCACTACCCCAAAGCAAAGAAAAAAGGTTCATTTTTAGTACACTCATCATGACTGTGTTGACCATATTTTTCAATGTAATAAGTGCATTTCCATGTTTTGTCTTAGTTTTCCCTCATTCTTAACCCCTCTTGCTTTCCCCTTCAGGTTCTACATTGAAAGCATCTCCTATCTGAAGGACAATGCCACCATCGAGCTGTTTTTCTTGAACGCCAAGTCCTGCATCTACAAGGTAAGGACTCAGGGAGCTCTGTGTGGCATCGGCCACATTTTCTGTCTGCATTTTCTGTCTTGAAATTCACACCTGGACTTTCAGATACAACCTCCTCCTCCTCTTCCTCCTCACAGCCTCCCTCACTCCTCTGCCTCCAGCCGCCCCAGCACTTGGCAGCAGCTTCCCTGTCAGAGGGAGGTTCAAAGGAAAAACACCCCTGAAAGCACCTCTTGTGGCAGGCAGGAGTGAATTTGCACTGCTAAAATTATAAACTGGCTTGTATTTAGAAAGAAAGGTCTGGCTTTGTGTTAAAAACCCGCTCTGGGGTGAGCGGATGTCATGAGGGTTTCCCGCCCGGAGGGGGCGGCAGTGCGGCGTGGGCGCCATATTCTGGGGCCGGGAGGGTGTGTGTGAGGGGGAAGAGCTTGTGAGAGGGAAGGGTGGAATATCCTGACTTGGAAGGAGCCCATTAGGAGTCCAGCTCCTGGCTCTGTCCATGCCAACCGTGAAAATCGCACCATGTGCCTGAGAACATTGTCCAAATGCATCTTGAAATCTGCCAGGCTTGACGCCATGACCACTTCCTTGCAGAGCCTGTTCCAGTGCCCAAGCACCCTCTGGGTGAAGAACCTCTTCCTAATGTCCCACTAAACCTCCCCAGACACAGCTTCATGCCATTCCCTCGGGTCCTGACTCTGGTCACCAGAGTAAAGAGATCTGTGACTGTCCCTCCACTGTCCCTCGTGAGGAAGCTGCAGACCACCATGAGGTCTCCCCTCAGTCTTCTCCAGACTGAACAAGCCAAGTGACCTGAAGTTTGTGGGGCAGCAGGAGTCTGTGGGTGTATGTGTGAGTGGACTAAGGGTACTTGTGGGTATGCACTGAAGATCACCTTTTACAGGAACAAGCCATGCACTGAGAAATATTTTTTTCCATCAGGAAAAAATCTACCCTCCCTGGTAAGCCACTGAAACACCAGCCTACTGTCCCTGGCACTGTAGCTCAGAGCACCCCTGGCAAGGCACTCTGTGCGCCAGAGATAAGGGCATCCTGGCACAGCCTCCACTCAGAGTAGTGCCCTCAGCAGAGCAGTGAAGCTGATCCCCCAGATACCACAAGCCAAACATATACATGAAAGGACTGGGTACAGAGAATTAACCAGCCCCAGACCACGCTGAGGTGGAGATTGGCACTGTGCAGACTTAGCCGGGTGGGCTGGACGTCTGGGACTGAGAGAGGTTTTTCAGCAGCTGGGATTCCCTGGGAGGATCCCTTCTACCTCCCTGTGTGCTGGCAGAGGCCATTCCCGATGACTCACCTCCATCTGCCAGGGAGGAAGCAGTAGGAAAAGACAACTGTAGTCAGGGAGCAATTTTACTCACATCCCACAACTCAGCACATTTGTGACCTGTTAAGCCAAATAGCTTACACCGAACCCAGAGCCTTGCTTGACATCTACATGTCCTAAAATGTAGGGGCTAACTTTGCATCTTCTAAAATGCAGAGCAGAAGCCAGCAAATGCCTTTTTTCCAGTGCTCAGGAACCAGGCAGGGTCGCTGAGCTGAGCTGTGCAGCGCTTTGCTCTCCGGCAAGGCTGCAATTAGATGTGCTTAGTCAGCCCTCCTCAGCAACAAGCTCAGTGAGCATCACATTTTGGTTCCTGGGGAAAGTTCCTTTTTGAAGTCTTGCCAGGAAAAGCTTACACCGTTGTTCTTTTTTTTGGAGAAAGCTTAATAATGAGAGGAGAGGAAGAGAAATAAAGAAAAAAAGTGCCTACAGACCTAGGTTGGTCTATTTCAGTCTGACCTCTCCTGAAACCATTACTTTGCACATTCAAGCTGACTGTCATCTCTTCCCGAAAATAGCCCTGCTGAATTCCCAGTCTCCCATGAGGATCCTTCCCAATTTGACTTCCAGCCACAGTAAGCCATGCTGTGCTATTAAAAAAGGCGCTGAATTTGAAAGTTGGGTGCAAAATGTCTGCTAAGACTCAGGGCAAGCACCCACCCAGCACGCCTGCAGGACTCCTGTAGCTGTAAAAAGGGGAATTCAGTGTTTAAGCACAGCCAGAGCTTCTTGTTCCTGCAGCTAGCAGGTGGTGTTGCATGCTCCCAAACCTTGAAAGCTTCCTTGTTTCACCAAAAGTTTCCTTGTTGGACTTCCCATGAATACCTCCACCTCTGGTTCTGCTGCAGCCCAGAAAGACCATGAAATAAGTGTAGTTCCTAATGCTGTGCTAGAACCTCAGACCTTTCCCTGTTAATTCTCCAGACAGACGTCCTCAACCATCCCCATACACAGAGATGCTCAAGCTGGGAAAGAATAAAACTGAGGCCTGTTTAGTTTGGGGCTGCTGGTCACTGGGTTGCCAGCTGGCTCTGTGCTAGGGCTGTACTCCTCTGGTTGTGCCCACCACTCCCCCTCCATCGCCCTGTTGTGTAATGAGACATTCATGAACTCACACACCCGAATCCTCGCACAGGACCAGCAAGATACTGTTGCCCAGAAAGGCCAAACCACGTTTGTACTACCAAATAAGACAGGGCTTGGCATCAGACGCTGTCCCTTGATCAGTCAGGCTGTTTAATTACTAGCACGTTCTGGTGTGGGTTTTGGCGTGTGCCAGCAAGCTCCGTCCCAGGCGTTGCTTCGGCACTGTTCAAGGTTGTGCACCTGTTCCCAATAGGCTACACAATGGTGGAAACCCCATCTGGGACTGGGGGAGGGAGGAATAGTGTTTAGTCCTCTTGCACCCACCGCTTCCCTTGGCACAAGGTTCATCCTTGGTGCAGGTGCCTGTGTGAGTCAGGCAGTTCAGCTGAAAGGGGAAAGGTGTGTTTATCGCCCGCAGCAGAGCTGCTCTTCGCTCCCCAAGGAGTTGTTATGAAAGAGGCGAAGAAATCACTTATTTTAAAAAGCTGGCGCTTGTGAAAGCCAAGGACACCTGGATCTTACCCTGTGTTTTGTTCCCTTTACTTTTGATTTTACCAGAGACAAGCCAATGCAGCAATTGTGGCTTGTAGATGAGGTGTGGTCGTGACTTGGCTGAAGCGTGGATCACAGCAGTGATCTATATTTAGATCACTCATTTCTTGCCAGATGAAGTAAAACATTAAAAACAGCAGCTTAAATAAATACAACAGAAAAATCACCACAAGAGTGAGCTGAGCAGTGATCCAGTTTACCAGTCCATGTACGTAGGAGACAATGTAGGAGTTCTAGTTGCAGAATAGAGATCTAAACAGTATCTCAGTAAAAGCCCATTAGCTTCCCAGGAGCAGGGACCGAAGACTCAGGAAGAGCACACTTGGCCACAAGACTAGTGCTCATACCCTCCATCCCAAGCATCCTTGATACCGGGTCTGCATCCCAAGCATTCAGACAAAGCAGTGCCTGGACCCCTTGGTTCTGTGACTGCCATCTCAGGCACAACAGAAGCATCCTGAGAGGACCTAATGGGACCATCAGTGTCCTTCATGTGACCAGGGTGTCCAAGCAAACCCTTCAGGATTGCTTTCATCACAGGTTGGATCCTATAGAATGGAGCAGAGAAGATCTACCAAAAGATTTGCTGTCACAGCTCATTCTCAAACCACCCCCAGACCCAGTGCTTGTGGGGATGAAAGGGCCAAAACCAGAGTTCCCATCCTGCACGTGGGAATATGGCTCTTCTTGCTTTGAGTTTACCCTGGGCAAGGATCAGAGTTCGGGGGGGACTTTGACACAACTTCAATGAAGACAAATTCTAATTTTCTTGCTTTTGTGAGCCAAGGGTAAAGCTGTGTTCCCTTTGCATGGGTGCATGGGTGACAGTTGGGGGCAAAAAAATGTATTTTCTAGGCTACTTGTCACTGAATCACACAAGAAAATAAAATTTACCCTGATCCTCAGCCTTCCACCTGCTTTCTCCTTGCTCTTCCTTCATGCCACATTCAGTTATGCTTCATTTACCAAGCCATTACACCAAATATTTGGCTTTCTCCACATCTGAGTGGAGTGGGCAGGTTCTCCCTCCCTTTAGTTTCCAGGAGCACAGAGAATGCTTTGAAGCCAGGGGAGAAGACTGGCACCACATGCTTTGCTGTGCAGTAGGCAGGAGGAGATGTATGTCCTTCTTACAGCAGCTCAAACTCAACTCTCTTTTTCTTTCTTGTTTTCTTCACCTTTCAAGGAACTCATTGAGGTTGACAGCGAGGTGGTGTTTGAACTGGCTGCGTACATCTTGCAGGTAAGGACCCACCTTCTCTCACTTCGTGCTTTGTTATGTTGCATTAAATCTTTTGATTTGCCAGATCCACAACAGCTGTATGGCAGTGTAGGGGTTCCCTCAATTGCAGGAGAAAGATGTCTTTACACAGTTTTCATGGTTTCTACCAAAATGAGTACAGAAGGCTCTCAAACCAGACCTCTCCATGCAGGGAGCTGATACTACTGCTCAGCATTTTGCATACAGAAATGTGTATTATATTTGCACCAACACAGATATCCAAGACCCTGGAGTATAATGTACAGCCAGAGAAAATCTAAATGCAAATTCCTAGGTGAAATCCATATGCAATGAGTTCTTCTCCAGTGACCCTCCTTGCATTTGTTTTCCCAATGGGGTTTGGTCGTCTGATGAGCTCCATAAGTTTCTACATATGCAACTGTATTCTTCAACATGGGCAGAATAGCTTAAAGGCTTTCCAAAATATTGTCTTTTGAAGTTCTGCTCTTCAAGAAGAGGGAAAAGGGTCAGAGGGCAAATGACCAGCAGTGTTTGGTAAATATCTAATTCCCAGAAAAGAATCTTCTCAGGGTAACGAAGGTGGGTTATGTGAAAGTTCTCTTTTTAGGAACTTGACTGTGGGAGCAGATCAGACATAATTGTCAGATGATCCTTGTTCCCCTCTCTTACGGTCTGATTTTTTCCCATGAGTCATGAAGCTGTGAGGAGCCATGTGAGCAGAAAAGCCAGCTCATCAGAGTGCACTAATAAATAACAATGCACTGCACTTCTAGAGCACTTGCCATGTTAAAGAAGCAATTAATGCGTAGGGATTTGAACCTTCATTAAAATCATTTTATGTAACAAAAATGGAGTGAGAGAGTCAGGATGGGGGACTCAATTAACAGCACATTATAGAAACTGCATATTGGCTGTTGGGGGAATACACATCAAACAACGGGCCCATTGTGAGGAGCAGCAATGGGGTTATGAATCTATTGTCTGCTCATCCTAATGAATAACTTACGTGCTTAGTAATTGTACAGCCAGATCCAGAGCTCCTGCCATAACCCTTGTTGCTGGGATTGTTTCTTGCCACAAACACAGGATGTTACGTGTGTTCCTGTAGTAGTTTGATGTGTAACTTAATGAAAACACTCAAAACAAGCCACACCTCTACTCTCTGTAACCAGAAATTACTACAGCCCGTGTTTGTGACAGGATCCAAGTAAAACAAATGGGATCATACTGCATTTTGTTCTACTTCTCGCTGCAGCATTTAGGTCAAAGCACTGAAGTATGAAGAATATACCCTACAAAATTGTTTTTTGAATTTAGTATGCTCATCCCTGTGCAGGCCAGGGCATATCCTATGGGCCTTTCTGTGTGTTGAACTATCATCATGGTATGCTTGAGGAGTCCTTCCTATGAACCAGAGAAGTGCTTGTCTGTCCTTCGGTTCACTCAAAGGGAAATGGGAAGATAGTAAAGGTCTGTCAGAACTCAAATGATTTAGTCTGCAGCCTTATTCCAAATTGTTTTATTACCAGAACAAATTGAAGTACCACCAAAGCTCTGAACTTTACCCCAGCCTCAGGACTGAAACACCACTGGACGTGGGCTGACATGTTTTGTGGGTAGATGGATGGATGTAAAGACAAAAGACCTGAATGCAAAACCCAGTCCTCTTGGCAGTGGAAATTCCCTCATTTTCCAAATTACCTTCTTGCACTGTGCTTTCTGTGTAGCTAATGGCAAATGAGGTGCTTTAGCATGAATCATGTGAAAGGCATATTGTCTATGGAAAATACAAAATGCATGTTAAATCTATTGAGGAGGGCACTCACCAGATTCTGAGGGTTTGCCAGGTATGCAGTAAGACTCAGGTACTAATATAACTGCTGGAGTGGAACATTATCCAGCCCTTTAACATCAGGCTGTGATGGTAATAAACAGAAATATCTAGATATACAAGCAAGGGAGCTAAATACTCCTCCAAACAGCCAGCAAGGAGTTAGAGAAACTTGTGGCTTGCATCCCCTTGAAAGCTGACAGTCAGCAAGTTTTTTGAAAGTCTAGGTACTAAAAAATGGCCAGAATACTTGTAAAAAAAGTCAGAGGAGTTGCAGTCTCAGAGGCTGCAAGGCCACTGCGACTTCAGAGATCTCCTAGTAATGTAGCATCCGCATCAGCCCAAAAAAATTTAATTACTAGCATTACTTCCTGCAACTTCTTGGGTATCCACTAGCAGAATGGGGAATCATCTGGCCCTGTATTAGGCAAACCTTTTGTTTGTTAATCTGCCCAGCTCACTGCATGTATCATGGCACTTGACATTAGATACTGATTCCAAAAAATACATGAGGAATCAATTACAACAGGAAATTGCTGCTAAATGAATTTTGCAAATGGAAAATCTTGAACAGCCGTTTTCTTCTCTTTTTTTTTTTCCATTTTTAATTATAGATTTTTTATTTTTCTTCCTTGTTTTACAGGAGGCAAAGGGAGATTTTTCAAGGTAGGTGAACTTAAAAGTTTTTACCACTGTGTGCTTTGAGAATGAATCTGGTAAAATCACTGTGTGAGCCATGAGACTCAACTGTTGCTGTGTAGTGATCGCCTGTGTGAGCAATGCAGCTCTGTGTGTATGGCTAACATAGACAGCAGGTTTCCTGATATAATTTCTCCACCAAACACAGCCTTGGACCAGAGCATGCCTTGCAAACAGCATTGTTTGTGATTTCGTTGTTGACAAATCTCATTATGTGCTCATGAAGTGCAGGAAACAGACTAGTCTTCAAAAGGAAATTGCTAAGGAAATGACTCTACAATCACTGTTATATCACAGATCCAGCCAGAAGCAACATTAAAATTCCATGACTAATTGATATTTCAGCTCAAATTTGGACAGAGTTCTCAAAATCACAATTTAGATAATTGGGTTTGTTGAACTTCTGCTGTCCCTTGAGCCAAATCTTCAGACTTACAGTAAGAAATTCGAAGAGGTGACTGTACTTGGTGTTTTAGAAGACTGTTAATGAAATGCTCATGAATTATCATTTAAGTTGACAGTATCTGTCATTTACACATAAGTAGCAACCAAAGGTCAGGTAGTTGTTTGATGTCTCATGTAAGAAACATGAAAGTTCTTTGTGTGAAGCTCAGGAGAACTGACTATGCTAAGTATTTCACATACTCCATATATTATTTTTGCTGACCTGGACATGAGTTCAGCTGGAGGACCACAATATCCTCAAAAGTTAGTTTCAGAATGGGCAGTGGGTTGAATTGCCAGATGAGCCCAAAGAGATGTCTTAATTTTGCCAGCATTGAGCTACACTGAGAGAAGACTGTAATGATAAGAGGCTGTGAATAACAGGCAGGATCCACCATCTGGTGGTCTGGGACTTCTAGCCAGCTAAAATTGAGTCAAATCAGTGAAAAGGAACAATGCGTTGCAGATATCACCTGTCTGTTGTGGAATCTGAGCTGACAGAAGGTAACCCTTGCTAAAAGGAAGTTTAAGTTCTGCCACAATATTTCTCAAAACCTTAACATGCAAAATCCTGACATTCATCTGACCACAGAACACACAAGGCCAGTCTCGCTTTGTTTTTCGGTTCTGCTGAATAACTCAGCTATCAGAAGTGTTTATTTAGAGGGTACTGGAGTGCATGTGGCTCTTTGACTTTTCAATCTGGTTTTCAATGCACTGCCAAGTGCTCAGTCCAGAAGAGTTGGGCCAAGAAGAGTTTTGCCATCCAGACCTGTGATGAACCACATCTTCCACTGGTTTTGCTATGAAGAACAATATTTAATGTTTCTCAGAATACCTTGGACGTGATAAAAACACACTCAGGAAGTGTACATTCAGTCTATGAGACACAGAATAGAGAGTAATAGGACTGAAAGTATTTTTGTCTTTGAGTATCCATTTCCAGACCAGAAGTGGAAACAGCCAGTGGAAAGCACCCATCTGCTAAAAGTTGTATGTTGTCCCTCGTAATAAAAGGAACGGTTGAGTTTATCATAGGCACAGAAGATTCCTGAACCCATGGTGTTAAGTCCTGCCTCCACATCAGCCATCACCATCACCAGCCCTATTAAAACCGCTCTGAATTCCTTCCACCTGTGGATCACAGTGGTTTGAAGTGTAAGGGGAAATCCTTACGTCCAAGTCAGGTAGAGAAGGGATGTCATAACAACTTGTTGATACTGCCAGGGATCTGAATTTCAAAATGGGCTTTGATGACAAAGAAATCTGCCATACTAGTGGAGTTTAAAGCCTATTCTTGGATGAAGCTAGAAGAATGCTGCTCTGACCCTCAATGGTGTGGAAGATTTGGCATCTCCAGTGATGTCTGTCCAGCAGCTCCTCTCTAATGTGCGCTGACATGGGTTTATGCGCTGGGTGAGATCCCAGTGCTACTGAAGTCAGCATGAGGTCATGGTGGTCAAGATTTTGCCTGCTGAGATTTGTGGTTATCATATCAGCAGTGTAAAATCTGGGAAATCAAGCCTGGGGTCAGCCAGAGGAACTGCAGTTGAAGGCAAATGTTCTGACTTCTCTTAGGGATGAAGTTAGCTTCAGTGTTTGCAGTTAGTTGATGTTGAAATACTGTTTAAAGCAGAAGTGGCTACTCTTGGAAACAGAGAAGCTTTGCAGTTTTGAATGTCTTGCTGCTGAGATTTAAGTGTTGTGCATGGCAGCATATGTTGTGTGAAGGTTGAACTCTTGAACTCCTGCTTTGTTTTTTAAGAAACAATTTAATTCTAAAGGGTTGCATGCTTGGAACACAGACTGCAGCATTCCCACACCTGTCCTGTCTACTGCCACTGTCAGATTTATAGCCTGTGATCTGGCCCTGATCCAGAAAAGTACATAAACACTGGCTCATTTGTAGTGATGGGAGAATTGCTGTTCCCCATGGGAGCCTTCCTGTCACTCACTGAGGATCACCTCAGATGCTGGGACAGTCAAAGCCAAATTGTCACAATTTCAGCTGCAGGTTGGCACCTGCCTGTGGTGGCCAGTGTGATTACCTCCAAATCCCACTGCAGCCAATTTGGAGGATCTGGAGCTGGTTCAGGACTCCTGAATGCAGTTACAGGTCTGCTATTTGGGCCTCTTAACAGTCAACTTTCTATCTGTGAACTGATACGACACCAACTCCACTGCTGTTTTTGAGGAAATCATCCCATACCTCAGAATAATCACTGTGCCCATAGTGCTCCTCTTTACTTTCCTGAAAAGGGGCTCTTGTGCCATATCAAACACATTCTACATCCGTTGGTAGGGCATCATCATGCATGAGACTGTTATCACTGATTCTTACCACCTTGGGCATCACAACGACTCCCATTGTTCAGTAAGCCTGGAGAACACACAGTCCAAGTCACCCTCATCTGTTTTGAGCTAAGATGCCACAGTAGCCCTGACAGATCAGTTTAGCATCTGTAGTGGGCAATTCTTTTAAGCCCTTTTCCATTTCTAATGTGTGTTTCATTTCAAAAACAAGTTCATCAGAAATGCTTGAGCTCCTGAACCTGTTTAGATCAACTAAGACAATTATTTCTGAGAGTTTGCTCGGAGTGGCCTCATCCATCTCTTAGTTGATAAAGTTTTAGGCAGAGCGAGGTTTAAAATAAAAAGCTATTCTCCTTAAGAAGTTCCTAGTCCTCCACACTGAAGGAGAGTGGTTTTCACATTATTTAAGAGAATCCCCAAATGCTTCAGCCGAAAAGACTTAAGCAGGCTTACATTCAGGTTGAGAGTTTAAGACAGTCAGGTATCCCTATTCAGCTGATTCTCGGGTTGAACAAGACACTTAAGATTGGATCTGTGCTTTTCAATATTAGCTGAAGTCAATATTTTGACTTCAAAGGCAAAGAATCACTTGTATGAAGCTCCTAAACAAGCACCCTGCAGACTGACCTAAAGGTTATTAGCTCAAGCTAATCTTGTTTCTAGCTGGAAGCTGAGTCACGCTTGGTTGGCAGAGCATGGGCAGGACAAATTTCAGTTCCTTAGATGAACAGAAATCCTACAGATATGTAGGCCTCTAGGCCTACACAGAGGAATGAACCAGAGTGCCCTGGCTAATTTGGGGAGGTATATACCATATTGTTAAAATAACTGAGATTTTTTTTCCCCCTAACTTAATCCTACCAGATTTAGAGTCCAGTCCTAAAATATTTGGGAAACTCACACCAACTTTGGTTGTAAATGTTTGTAATCGAGTTCTTCAGCCTTAAACAGCACGTATGTCAAAGCAGCTGCAAATAACATATCCTGTTCATTTGTCCCTCAGTTTGGGGTGGGGAAAGGAAAACCCCTGAGTGAAACAAAATCCGTAACTGTTGGAGCCAGCTCCTCAGATAGATTTCTTCCAGTTAAGCAGGATGAGACATTTCGAGTAAAGTCCAAGTATCTCCCAGCAACATAAGAAAGAATAACAAGGGAGAAAAGCTAACAGCCAGTTTCCTGTTAAGCAGAATTTCACAACAATTTCAACGTTTGGGCAGATGGTAATCTAACATAGTTTCAGGCTTACTTTTCTTTCTGTGTAACCAAGTGACATTTAACCAATTAAAATGTATTAAAGGGTTACAAAACCCAGGCTGCATTCTTGCAGCGTAATGGAGAAGATCCTAAGCACTGTACTTCAAACAGTGCCATCTAATCTGAGAATCTCAGACTCTGCATTTCCTCTTGCATTCTACAGAACGAAGTACCGTGCTGAGAAGAGATGACAACTTGAACCTGTAGCTTTGTTTTGTTACTGATCATTGTTATTACACATGCTGGAAAATGTATGGATTTCCTGAGACAACTGCATGTGTAATCTTGCTCAAAATTATTGCAGCCAGTTTGCAAAAACTTGTTTTTCACAAAATGTTTATGAAATGGCTGGGCAGGACTTTTGCCCCCGTGTGTAGATAAAAATACTGAGAGATGGTGACTAGTTCATTTGGAAAAGACTTATTAAACAGGCAATATCAGAACCAAAACCAGAACCAGGAGTTCTGATTTCTAGGTCCATTTTTCAGTCAGTCAACCTTACTTCTGGCTATCCAACCAGCCTTCAGGAACCCATGCAAATGGCTTTTCCAGTTCAGTTTTCATACTGTTATTCAGTCTTTTAAATATTATAATTTCCGCCATAGTGCAGGAATAAAGTGGTCCAGGGGACACAGAGAAAGTGTGTTTGGAGCCTTTCCCCTGCATATTAACAAATCTGTGTCAAAAGCACTCTTCTGTATATATCAACCCTGGAGGCTGGACACTTCCGAATGTAAAATAAATGCAGCACAAGTGACCGGATTAAACAAACACTTTCTAAATACAGTAATAAAATAAACACAATGAGATATTTCACTAGAAAGAGCGTGAAATGCAATAAGTACAAAACCACTAGTGATGCTGCTGGAAACATTTTAAAAATTGAGGATTTTGGTATTTTAAAAGAAGCCAAAAGGAAAGTGACCTAGTGGTCAGTAGGTCAAATGCAACCTGAGTCGTTATTTTTTTCCTTTTTCTTGATTTGGCATCCTTTTGGGAGTCTAAATAATTCGTCTTGAGATGAGTCTAGCCAGAAGACTTAGTGAATACATGGACCAGGGAATGAAATGCACTTTTGATCCTGGAAGTGATTACCTGAAATACATTTGGCACTTTGAGGCTGTGAGGCGCTATCTTTATGATATTTTCTGGGTACTGAGCAGAAATGGTAATCCCACCCAATAACATCACTAAGAATGTCTTTTTCTCTGATTCTTAAAAGACTTTATCACAGTGAAAGCAAGCTTTGCACCTTACCAACAGAAAAGACAGAGCTGACTGGTGTTAGCCCTTTCTTTTATGGGAGCCATTAATGACTCAGGCTTCTTTTCCCAGACCCTCCAAGACCGTTAGTCACCTATGCTTGCCCTATTTGATAGTTTTCTGGGCTCAGAAAGTCCCTGTTTGGAAATTACTCCGTGCTTTCCCAGAAAAGTGTTGGCGATTTCTCAACTTCCTTCTGTGAGCAGCCAGCCTCAAAAAATCACCACTTGAGGGGCAGTTTCTGCCACTTGTGCTTCGATTTTCCCGCGCTCTATTCTTTTTTCCCAGTTTCTTTGAAAATGTCAGAAACCTCAGTAAGAGCTGAGTATGCACATGCTGTGGAGGAGACAGCCCTGGGCAGACCCAGAAAACTCTAAACAGCAACAGCTTGTTTTCTGGGCTGTCAGTCACAGAACAGAGCAGCCAGATCAACAGATAACACAGAGTGGAGCAGCTTCTTGTTCAGGCTTGTGCAGATATTTACCCGCCGTGGAAGAATAAATCTGAATAGTTGTTGAGCATTTGCACTTAGTCGGGAAGAGCTCTCTGATGGTTAAATGACCATGGGATTTGGGCAGGAGTGGGTGTTCAAATATTGTTTGTTGAGAGCCTTTTGGCTTGGCATACGAGGTGCTGCTGAGTGGTTTTCTATGTGCGTAGCACTGCAGTGGTTGCCTTAGTCATTTGTTCTAACTGTTGTTCTACACATCTTCACTCTGCAAAATTTGAACCTAATTGAGACTTGCACATCTCTCATAGATTTGTCTTGACTAGAAGTTGCGGTCCTGTTTTAAAACTACTTAATTGATTGTCAGGGAACTACCGTAATAATAAATGTCTGTAGACATGCCCAAAATGCCTGCTATGGGATTTATGTCAGTGGTTTACCCTATGGCCCAACCTAGCAATTAACCTACAGACTCCAATTAAGACAAACCCACCAAGGTCTCAGGCAGAGCCTGCTGCTGGGATGTGCAAAAGGAGAAATGCTGTGGGAAGATTTTTACAACTGAAACAGGATCACCTCTCTACAAGCCACCATACAGACTGTCACAGAGAGAAGAACAAAACCCAGGGTGTCCTGGAATGTCCAAGGGCTCCTTGAGTCTTTACAGATGTTAGGATGTCTGGTCTACAGCTGTAGAAGCCAAGACTACCTGTCTGCCTGGCTACCAGCCCCATGGGGGAAGCCAGTGGGCTGGGAAATCTGGAGGTCTGGAAGAGGTGTCTCTCTCTGCAGCTCCAGGACAGCCACAGTTTTGGGGAGGATAAAGGAAAGGGTACAAGAAGGCAGAAAAAACTTCTACTGAAAAGTAAGCCAATAAACATGAATTCTTTGGCACTCCTCGGTGTCCTGTCTGGCCTTCTTGGCTGTGTATTTCTACAATTTTAAAAGTTAATAGCAGCAGTGCCTTCCTTCCCAAGCCTTTGAGGGTTTTTTTTCTCATGTGCACGCAATTCCTTGTGTGTGTTTAAAAGTGGGAAGGGAGGCATTTGGGGTTTGTAGGAGAAAATCCCACGGTTTCATTTCATCTGTGAGAATCTGCTTCCCATTTCATGAGCCTTCCCTGCTCTCTGCTGTGCAGTGATGCTGCTCCGGCTGGCCAGTGTGGCTACTGGAGGTTGCAGGGAGAAGAATGAGCAAGATGATTGTGCCTGGTCCCGTGGAGGGTTTTGTGCAGCAGGACAAATCCAAATTGGAGTCTTATCAGTGAAGATGTTGTTCAAAGACCAGGTCATTGGATAAGAGGCTAAGAACAACCTGTGATGCTAAGAAAGCAAATCATTATTTCTTGCAGCAGTTCCTAAGGTACTAAATAAAGAAGTTTTATTACAGCCGAAAAATCACTTTCTCTTCTCTTCCCCTTGGTTTTTTTCTGTATATGAACATGTCCATGGGACTGTGCTCAATGACATATGACATTGTGGCTTTTGTGTCCAGTCATTGGTAGGAAGTTCTTCAGCATAACCATCTGGGAGAGTTTCTCTCCAATTTTGATAATAGAGGGAAAAGTTAACTGGGCTGCCATAAAACAAATAAAGAGAGGAGAAAAAGGAAACCCCAGTGCCTTTTGTTAAGGAGGAACAGATGTACAGCCATAGCAGCCTGCCAGCTAGGTCAGGTCATATCAAATATTGTGGTTGTTTTCTTGTAGCCTGATCCTCCTTTTGAACTCTCTTTCAGCAATGAAGTTGTAAGGAATGAATTAAAGAAGCTGCCAGCCCTTCCGACGCCGGCGCTGAAGGAGCATCCTTCCCTCGCTTACTGGTAACGTATCTCTCTGCTCAGCAGCTTTGCAGTGTCTTGTGAAGGACCTGGCTCTGGCAGTAAGTGCTCCAAGAGTGGAAGTGGGATGCAGGGATTCCTGCCTTCTAGCTCTGGGTTTGCCACCGACTCACTGCATGAGTTAACACAAGTGGAACTGCCCTGCTGGGCCTCAGTTTCCCTGTCTGCCCCATGTCTGGGTCAGAAAATTCGCTGTAAACATGCAAGTGTCCTGATGAAATCAAGAGGCCTAATGTGCCATTTACTTCCTAGCACTTTGTATCTGTGAAAGAGTTTTCCTGGCTGGAAATGTCATGTTTTGCACTGCTCTGTGTTGTTTTGAGTGATTCAGTTTCATCTTGCAAATCTTCTCTGTGTGGCATAGATGAACTATAAGGGATATATTTTCTCCTTTTATATGAACTAGGTGAAGTTTGGAGGTGGATGCTTGTTTGCTCTGTCTTTATTGCACTAAAAATTAAATCCAGGGCAGGAGCAGGGTCACAATTAAATTTTATATGCCCCACACATAGATTCTTTGTGCCACCCTGCATATTTGTTTTATCTGTGCAAATAGGAAAGTATTTGGGGAAAGACTGTTCATTAAAAGGGAGATGCTTTCACTTGATTTTCTGCTTGGTGCTCTTTCATGTTTGCCTTTAAAGCATTGGGCTGCAAGCCTGGGGATTAGAGAGAACTCCTTTATCTGCTACTCTCTTAATTTCTCCATTTTAGTAAATCTGAGGATGGCAGGGAGGAAACAAATCAGTTTGTAGGATATGATCTCAGTTCTTGCCTTTGCCAAGAAGGTCATCCACTTCTCCTTGCATGGCTACAATACTGGAATTAGCTATAGCTCATGCCAAGCCATAGGCCAGCTGGTCTGTGAGGTCTCATTTTCTGAGAACATCAGAGCATCAGAAGAGATTTGGAGTCCCCAGTTGAAATCAGGATCACTAACACAAAAGCTGAGGATCATCACAGTGTCCTGGTGTTTCTCTCTAAGAACCAAATCAGTCTTTGTGAAAAATTATAAGTGTAAGCTGCAGTTTCATTGAAGAAGAATGGTCTTCCTCTTTGGAGCATCTCTTTTCTTTTTCCAGAAACTAATCCACACACTCAAAGCAGTACATTTCCAGCCAGTTGGTGGCCTGGTTGACTGACAGATTGAGAGCTCAAGCTAAAAGGCATCATGAGAGGAGTGGTGGGAACAAGTAGGCAGTGACAGGGAAGGCAAATCTGACTCTTCATCAGCAACATGGCCTGAGCTCTTATTAAAGTGCCCACATAGCAAAAAGGGCTGTGTAAAATCTTCATGCTCAGAATGTATTTGCAGTTATACACAGGATACAACACTTCTTACAGCTGTACTTAATTTGGGGGGGCCTCTTGTGACTGAGAATAAGTCACAGGTTGGGAAGACGGTGTTGCCAATGGGGCAATAAAATCAGAGGCTACAGTCCTGTGACTCCCTTGTGATTTCATGCCAGTAGCCAGGTCTCAGAGAGCTCTTGTACATTAGTAGTTCATTATTTTTTAATGGTGGCTTTTTCCTAAACACCCTCTGAAACACTGAATGCTCTCAAGAAGAGTCTGTTGGCGAATCAGACAAAAAACCTCTAAAATACAGATCAAACTTCAGTGATCTAAGGGAGCAGATTTTTAAAACTGTGTTCTCTGACATTTCTGCATCTCATGCAGGTTATCATAATGGATACATATTTCATCCTGTCCTTTTCTGTGTGCAGTCAGTTTTATGCTGCAGTACTTCAGCATTAGCACAAACAGTAACAAGTGAATCTCCCAACTCTGGAAAGAAACTTCTAAAACATTAGAGGTGAGATGGGTAAAGGCTCTAGTTAGTTTAAAACAAACAAACAAAAGAACTTTGTACTATATTTTTATCAGTTGAAATGGATTAAGAGATAATAAAATGGATAATCAAACAAATACTATGATATCTTTGAAAAGATGCTATAATAGGTCTGCATGAAATGATATAACATTTCCATCACCGACCACAAAAAAGCCTCACCATTGCTCCTACCAAATGTATTAAGATCTGTGGGATGAGTTCTGGCTTCTTAGATCAGCACAGTTTGTGCCTCTGACTCCACCTTCATGGAGTCTCCTGGTTCCATACCCTTGCTTCAGGTCTTTCTCTTCACTGTATTGTCTTCCTGTTTATGGACTTCACAACAAAGTTGAAGGTTTTAATTTTTATATCATCAAGTTGCTGTTTCCAGTTTTCTGCAGGTTCAGAATAATCAGTTCCACATCTTGTTCTCAAGCATCTATTGGCATCACTGATTACTGGTGAAATAAAAAAGGGGCTTCTTGGTGGGTTTGTTTGTGTTTCGTTTTCTTCTAAATGAAAGCTGAACTTCTGGCCTTCCCACACAATCCAGGAGTGGGGCCCCTGAATTTTGATTTCTCTTGCCCATTCACGGAAACAACAGACAGTATTTATTATTTTAGACACAAAACTAGTCACAGAGACTGGAGATAACCTTTAGAAAATGTGTTAACTCACACTGTTCCTTTCCAGCCACTGTTGTTGAATTTTATCTCAGTTCAGATACTCCCCAGCAAACCATCCCAGTACTGGGTTGTCAGTAAGAAAGCCAGGAGGAGATGCAACTGCACAAAAATGGTTGCTAAAATGGGATTTTCAACAGATAGACTTCTCCCAGGTTCACAGAGATTTCAAATGTGAACTTGTTTTTAGCAACCTAAAGCACCAGTGTTGCCAGAAAACCCACCTCTGAAAATATCAGCTGAAAATCACTATTTAGTGATTTTCTGTAGTTCAACACAGACCTGAGGTTCTGGTCCTGTTCCTGGTCCCTTGGCCAAAGAGATGCTGGTTGCTTCAGTGGGACAGTGTATGACTGCAAATAAATACATTAGTAAATTCAGGAATATAATCAAAATGGACAAATCAGGTTAGAAACAGAATAACACTAAGGAACAGCAATGAGTGGACAGCTATTTAAAATAGTTCAGTGTGCTGGGAAGAGAGGGAGGGAACAATTACCTTTTAAAATCTGGATTTGATGATGAGAAACTCAGAGCCTGCATCTGCATGCAAGTTGTCTGCTGTCCAGTTCTGTGAGCTGCTGGGGCAGGAGGGATTTCTTGGCAGTTCTAAAGATCTTTATCAGAGTTGTCTGCTGTGGGATATCATCCACATTTCTGCAGCTTTGGGGGGAAAGTTTTATGAGCTGGCAAACAGACGATAGTGCTCCAGCAGACCCCTGTCTCCACATTAAACATCCTCTGCCAGCCCTCCACTGTGAATGAGTTTCTGTGTCACCAACACAGCAACAAGGCAGAGCAGGGGGAGAGGAGACGTCAGCTGGTGGTCCCAGCAGTGTCCCAGCACTCTCCCAGCTGTCAGTAGCAGCATGGCAGCTGCCTTGAATGAACAGCTGAAATGTCAGGGGAGCATATTTGTAGGCCCTGCTAATGCTCCTTTTGACCCCTGAATGATGTTGCTTGTTTTCCCTGGCACATGCTGGGCTTAGCCCTCTGTCCCAGAGCAGGAGGCAGAGAGTGACTTCTGTGCTGGACGACCTTCTGTCACACAGCCGAGGTGGGATTGACCTGACTGTGAACGTTTTTCGATGTGGATCTCACTGTCCGAGCTGGGTGCCCTCAGCTCCCTTTGCTGCCAGTGGAGAGAAGCAACAGTAACATCCTCCCAAGGAAGCCATCCCAAATAAATTGGATGAATCGTGCTCTGGAGTACCTGTTTCTTTCCCCAAAGTGCGACTAGCCCAGTGCTGCAGAAAAGGGAAAGACAGCAGATCCCTCTCAATATTCATGGCTTGATTGATAATTCAGGCTTTACTTTTTTTTCCAAAAGAAAGAAGAAACAAGGATTATAGTTTTCTGGGACTTAACGTCTGTACACCTCAAAACATTATACAAAGGGAGATCATCAGTATCCTAAGAGAGCAATGGAGGCATTTGTTTAGGAGAACTGGATAGAACCTGAACTATCCCACATTTCTAGCATGGGCTACAAACATAACTTTATTCATTCTGCTGTTCGGGAAGGCTCCCTGACATCTGATCTGTCCTTTTGAAGGAAATGGTCCATCGATTGGCTTCCCTACCCAAGGGGTATGGTCTGGGAACATATCAATTATTTTATAATAATCATTTGTAAGAAAGCAGAGCACATCCGGAATCACACTGTAGGTACATGTATCCTTTCCTTGAATGGCAGCAAGATGAGAGCTTGATCTGTGCAATAAACTGCACAAAAGTAGAAACCAAAGCTGAGCATTTTCCACTGGAGAAACTCCGTTGTTTTCTAAGTCACTCCTGGTTCGTTCCTGTCTGAGGCAGAGGAATTGCATCCACATGTAATCATGATTTTAAGAGGTAATTTCAAAGGGCTGTAAGCCCTCTCTGTCTATCTTTTTTATTAAGAATGATGTTTTTTGGAGATCTTCCAGTACTGAACACTCATGTAATTCAGTTATTGCTCCAAAAGTAATCCCGTTTATGATAATCACGGCAGGAGACCTGGGCTCTGCCTCCATGTGCACGCCCATAACATCTGTGGTACTTGCTTGGATCAGTGCACTGAATATGGTTTCATAGCTGTAGAATTTGCAGCTTACAGATCATTTTCTAAGCATCAAATTTACTCTGAGGGATTTATTGTGAGAGCTGGACGATTGCTTTGCCCATGTAATTTGTCACTGGCTCAGGCAGCACCCTGTACCTGCTATGGCCTGCTGGTGGCACATTGCTTCACCTTGCCCCAAAAAGAGCCCTTTTATTTTTGCAGGATGAGTGGGGGAAGTCACTCAGTGAGTGAGTAAGGAAAGCAGTTACTCCAGACAAATGACAGGCTTGTGGGGGAACAACTGGTCCTGCCAACAATCCAACAGACTATCTCTGTTGCTCTGTGCTGCCTATGTTGGTGTTTCTGGTTCTCTCCCTTTCTCTCTGCATTACCAGGGGTGCACAGGCCTCAGCTCCCCCATGCCCCTTCTTTCTGAAAGATGTTTTGGCTCTGGAGATTCTGACTCTCTTTCTAAAAGAAATTCTGTCCTCTCTGAACAGGGGTACACATGGGGAAGGCAGCAATGAATAGATGCAGTCGTGTTAGCTGGGCTGGTGAAACACTTTGTAATTTTCCACAAAAGTCCCCATGGGCATCTCTAAGCAGTTGGGATGAGGTCATCTACCAGACCATCCCACACCACTGTGCTCCTTCACGCTGTCTAACAATGCAAATAGCTTCAGTTCTGCCTGGGGAAGGATTACTGCATGGTGGACAGCCTTGGTTGCTTTTAAATGCCCCATTAGGGGCTCCCACTGGACCAAGGAAATGCAGGGAGGGAGGAATGCCAGTGCACATTGCCTTGAACCACACACAGCATGATGGCATGGGACAGACACTCCGTACTGCAGGAAGCTTATGTGGGGCCGGGTGGGGAGGGCACAAAGGTGGCATAGAGTTTATATTTCCCTCCTCTTGAGCTGGTAAGGTCTGTGCAGTATCTCCAGGGGACTCAACAGATTCCCTGTCCTCGGTGTTACAACATAAAGAGCAAGAAATTGGGTTTAGACTTGAGTACTCTGTCCTGCCAGCGTAACAGAGCTGGTCCTGTGGGCATTACATTGGATCCTTGGCTTATACTTTGCCACGCTGTGACTTTGCTAGCACAGCTGATTGTATGCATCAAATGGCTCTGGTTCTATGCTCTCCTGCTTCCCATTCACTGGAGAAGAAAGAATGAAATTCTTCAATCTGTCATTTGAGTCATGCTGATCTCTCTTGGATGCTCCATCTCCACTGTGTATCAGTACACGCTCGGGACTGTTCTCTAACACAGAGGCCCACTGGTGGAGAACTGCTTCCGTGTTTCACTGTGGAACACATTCAGACATGGCTTATGTCTTCTCTAAGGCATGAAATGGTCTTAGTCTCGTTGTTGGGAATGGGGCCTGGCTCATGCCAACTCCCAGTGCACAGCCAGGAGTTGCCTGGGAGAATGCAAGTTGGTAAAAAACAAAAAGTAAGTAAAGACCCATCGGTACTTTTAACAGTAAAGTGACCCAAGTTTGAGTGCCTTGGAAACATCCCCTGCCACTGTTTAACCTGCTGATGTAGATGTTGCCTCTGTGTACACTAGGAATTCAACTCCCTGCTGAGAGAGATTGCTCCAGAGTACTTCCACTAGCGCTCCTGCACATGGTTTTGTGCAGTTGCAGGGAGGAGTAATCTGTGAGTCTTAGAGCTGTTACTGGCCACCAATTTCTGAACAGTTTCGCCCATCTTTCAGAGGACATGATGGGCTTGAAAAGAAGTTGCACCAGCCAGGGCATAGCAGAGCTTGAGCAGCTTTATCACCAATCTGTTTGCCCACAATGTAATATCATGGATATTGTTTATAGATAAGGAAAGGATTGCAGAGAGAGGAAAGTCTGTACAAGTAGGTACCATGTCTGTGAGGAAAAAAGATTCTTTCAGAAAATCAACTCTTAGAAAACCATTTCTATTCTCAGTCTGTGACTCCTGCTTGTTTACCCCTAGGCACTAAATCCCCTCATCTAGTGGGTTTGCTTGGCATCTTTTGATTCCCTCAGTCAGTAGCTGTGTTAACAGAAGTATCTTTTCACCTTCTGGTGAGACTCTTGGTCACTATAATGCCAATATATAAAACATCCAATTCTTTCCTTTCCAGTGAGGATCGAGTCATTGAACATTACAAGAAACTAAATGGTCAGACAAGAGGTCAAGCAATTGTGAAGTAAGTGAAATAAGTGTGATTTCTTTGTGACCTTTGTTTTATTAGAAAACATTTATACAGGACTGTATAAATAATATAAATAAATATAAATATAACATGTAACTATGTTTTCCATCTCATGTTGCTTCATTTTTAAGTATTATGCACTTAACTATTTACTTATCAAAACATTTTTTTTTCAGAGCATCCTCTCAGCTTCTCACACATGTTATTCTCTTCTGTGTTGTTTTGCAGTTACATGAGCATTGTAGAATCCCTCCCAACATATGGAGTGCATTATTATGCAGTAAAGGTACGTGCTACAAGAAGGGTTCACTGAATTAAACTGTTGTTGGAGAGGGAGGGAGAGAGGTACAAACTGCCATCCTGCTTTCAGAATACAATACACTGCTACTAAAGTCTTGTTTCACTTCCTGTGGTAGGATAAACTTATTTCAACTGTGTGTGCATGTTTAGTAAATACAGCTCCAAAGAGGAAAATCCTGCTTTTGCAGATAAAACTCTTGCAGCTCTATTGTGCTGGAGTGTTCAGTGCACAAGCAGTAGCAAGCTCTGGTGATGCCAATGAACCCCCACCGAACAGATGAGCCAGACCCATCTCTGGCAGATATGATGCTTCACTCCTTTTTGTAGTTCCAGGAAGTCAGGCTTTTCCCAGCCAGCAGATCCATGAGCAGCTAGGTAGGGCCAGACATGATCTGCACACTGGAGCTCCCCTTACATGAGATACATGGATTCCACGCAGGTATTCATGAAATCCCTCATTTCTTTAGTCTAATGATTTATCACCAAAACTTCCAGTCTCAGATTATTATTATGACTTCCTTGCCTGACCAGCTGCCTTGGGGTTGTTATTTTTTTTAAGTAGAGAAATCAATAAATATATAAAGAAAGCTAGATACACAATCCCCAGAGCATATTCCCTCGTTTATCACCACTGAAGTTTTGATGTGTTTCATCATTATCTCTGTGTACAGGTCATATGGGTTTTCATGCATCTGTAATGTCTTGCACACATGAGGTACCATAAAAACACAAATATCCAACTGTACCTGTCCCCAGAGATGAGTTTCTAGTCTATTCCTACTAATGCTTTCACAAAATAAGGTATATTATTTTGCAAAAAGCATTAGCTTCATCCTTTCCCAGAGAATAGGATCCCTCCAGCACCCTTTGCATCCACATCTCTTGGACTACTCTAGATCAAGAAAAATCTTCTGGATTGGGCTTGTTATTCAATCCTGCAAACACTGGAGAGCTATTCCAGTGAGCTCCCTATGATCAGTAAGCAGCAGTGAGTAGCAATGAGGCAGCAAATATTGCACATAATAGGTTTTGCTTCTGCCTGATGTGGGGGTTTTGGTTTTGCTACGTTTTACCCTGCCACTCTCTATCACATTAACAGAGCAGATGTAATTTCATTGAGGACTCCAGCTCAGTAAATTGCAGAGGCTGGGATCAGATATCAGCCATTACTCCATAAGGCCATTTTATTGCACACTCAGACACAAAGCAGTTGGGTCCAAGCCTGTCAGACCTTATCACTTGGTAGCTCTCAGATCCCATTACTGCTGCATTTTCAAGACTAATGCTAAAATCCCTCCACATAATTCAAGTCAGCTGGGTGATTCGCTTTCCTTTCTCTCCAGTCTGAGTGTTCAGACTGTATAATTTACAGGGCAGAGAAAGAAGATGCACCACTGCACAGAGGACTCATGTCAAACCTCCTCACCTCCCCTGACAGCATTTTGAGTAACTTGATCACATGTGATGTATTTTAAATGGTTTTATTTGTCATGGCCAAAAGTGAAACAGATCTCTCCTAAACACCATGGAGCTTAGTGACTTGAGGGAATTCAGCAAGGGGAAATTTAACAGCACCCATTCAAAGATATTGCTTAGAAATAAATATTCATCTTGAACAACAACCTAGGAAATCTCCAACATTTCCCCATCCTATTCAATATAACTCCCTCTCTTTTCTCTTCCAGGACAAGCAGGGAATTCCATGGTGGTTAGGACTTAGCTACAAGGGGATTTTTCAATATGACTACCATGACAAAGTGAAACCAAGAAAGGTAAGTTGTTTACTTTTCTATCAATGTCTGGGCTTGCCACACGTGTTATAGCTCGAGTCGAGGGTGTGATGTACACCAAATGCTGGCACTGATTCATGTGATTTTGAAGGACATTCACTTTCTCCCAAACTTGTCTGAACGTCTGCAAAGAATTAATGGACAAAAATAGTAGCTCTTAATTTATTAAATGTTGTGGGTTTGGGGGGAAATAAGAATCACTTAATCTTGCAACTTATGCTCCTTTTTCTGTGTGGGTCATACAACATAATGGGAACTGAAGGACTGATCCTCTCAGATGCTGGAGACCTTCCATTCTCTGGCTATGGCAGGATTGGGAGTGCTCAGCCAGCTCTTGATACTGTACTGCCAAGCCATAAATGATCTGAGAGAGTACGAGAGACAAGAAAGCTGCTTCCATTTATTACAAAAAGAAAATTGCATGGTTTTCTCAGGACTAGCATTACATTTGAAAAGCAACAACTTTACTAACTGAAGAGTTAGTGTCAGACTAGGAAGTAAAGTCAACTTTCTTCACATTCCTGAAAAAAAAGGCATTAAAAAGTTTGTGTCCCCTATCTGATTTATTTAGGAACTTTACTTAGAAGCAGTTTACAAATCAAGGCATGGCACACATCGATCTGGTCACAAAAGCTAGAGCTTGGTCAGTGAGGACTAGCCATTCCAGTCTCTTTGTTAGTATTTTTAGTGGAGCATTCAATGCATTTGAAAACCAGGATTTGTCTCAGTCCTTCCAAATTGCCTGTGAAAAATCCAGCTAGTCAATGTCCTCTTGATTTGGGAGGGTTTGATTCCCCGAGCTTATCCTATGAAGTGGACCCATGTGTTCTGATTTTCCTACCTAAGATGTCATCTAATATGGAAAAGCTCATCCCTTAGCACAGGCCCTGCAGGTTAGCATGCAGGGCATGCACAGCCTGTTAGCAACAGTATCTGTTGTGCTGGAAACCCATGGAGACAGCAGCAGACAAGGTTTCGGGCTTCCTAGCAGGCTGCAGAACTGGATTACTTGAAGCAACTAGGCAGCTCTTCTGTGGATGCAAAAGCTTCCACAGTGAATTAATGTACTGGATTTCTCTTCACATTGTCTCTGTGCCAAGGTCCCCTCCCCTTCTTTCCCCTTTCACTGCATTGAAGTTAGATATTGCCTTAGTAGAGAATATCTTCTATTAAAATGGACTATAATCAAGGTTTTGTAGAAACCTGAACTGCTAAGGAGGCAACAAGAGGTAACAGGTGGATCAATTAGCCTTTTATTTGCTGAAGGCTATTAATGGAGCTTTTTATTCACTGAAGGAAAGCATGAGAGGAGGTCTTCACAGAGCATCTGTGCTCTAAAAGACACATCTCTTTGGGATCAATCATTACCTGCAGGGCAAGCCATACTCACACATGTGATAGCTTAAAACATGCCTAGGCTAGGTGTTTGCACCTACATATCTCCAGTAGTGCCAACACCCCAGGGAAGTCATGTCCTTTAAAGATGCCTTCAGAAGTCAGTCTTAGGAATGGAAACATTTCTTTGGAAGAAAACAGTGCCCTGCCATGACAGGACTCAGCCATTCAAAAGCTATAGCAATTATTGTCAACCCTGTTGGGATGAGATGGTTGGTGAGGAGCATCAGAAGGAAGAAGAGGACTGGTGCTCTGACTGTAGGGGAGGACACAGACATTTGCACTAGAAGAGTCAAGCCTTCTTTCTCAGCTTTCTCCTCTTTCCTCAGCTGCTCAGGGTGATCTGGTCTGTAGCATTGGTTTTAGAGCTTGATAACATCTTGGCCAGCCTCTCTGTGTCCCCACTAAACTACCTCCAGTGCTCACATTGTCTAACGAAGCAGGACCTTTAGGCATCTCCAATACTTTTTCTGCAAGTGTAACCCTAAAAAATAAGGTTTCCAATTTTGTCTGTATTAGGAAATATTTTTTTCTCAGAAAATTATGTATGAAATCCAGGAGACCCAAAACAATGGTGCTGCCTTATGTACAAACCACGAAGAACTTCTGTGGCTTAGCAGAAGTGGTCATAAACCTAGGAGGGAAGGTTGGGTGGGAAAGGAGAGCAGGAATTTCCAGGCTAGAATTTGTCCATTACCACAGTCCAGAGACCACAGAAGTGAAAAGACAGCCTAGATGAACATTTCTCTTGTTATATGAACAAACCCCATCTGTTGGCAGGGCTATTCCAAAGTGAACAGCCTAAATCAGGGACAGGACTTGGACGGAGTGGCTGAGGCTTTGTTACTTCTCCATGGAGAGATTTTACCTGCTCTGGAGCAAGTAAAAAGACTTCTTACCCTACACAGGTGGTAAAACCCCTCTGGCAAGAGCAGCTCAACTGCCTCAGCAAGGCACAGTGTTTAATCCTCTGCTAATTAGATTGCAAAATTGCACTTGATAACCCTGGTATCTGGGAGCAGCTCACCATAGTATCTGATTCATTTCACTACAACAGCATGGGCTGGTTCGAGTCTTTGCTGTGCAAAAGGGAGGGGTAAACCTGACTGAACTTTCTGCAAGGTAAAATTAGAGGGGGAGGGGGAAAGAGATTCTGTCTTTTCTGATCTCTATTATTTTGTTCATGCACACTGTCGATGCCAGAAACAAATTGAAAAATTACAATGGAAAAATACATCTCCCTGGAAGAAACTCAAGCAGCAAATTGTAGCAAGAAACCAGCTGAAACGAAGACATTTATATTAAATGCCTATAAAAAACTTGCTTGTCTTATAAGAGAGATTGTAATGTTTTTCTATATGTCATTCCAGATAGATTTCCATGCTTATTGTGTTTGCAAGTAAAACTGTAACCCACACTAAGCAGCTGAACCTATCTTGGGCGATCCCATTAGCAGTCACTCAAAAGCATGTTTTTAATAAATTGCTGGAGTAAATCAGCCATGTGTCTCTAGAAAACTAACCAGGTTTGTCATCAAGTTGGATGAGGCTGGAGAGGAGAACTGAGGCTGATGCAGGGCCAGAACCTGATCCTGCCTGTGCTATTCTCACTCAGGCTTTAGTCCTCCAGAATCATGGGGGATGCAGCTGAGATGGGTATCTAGCACCTAGTCCTAGGTGGTTCAGATGGGAATGCAGGGCTATTAAACTGGAATGCAGTTGTACCTGGGCTGCAGAGACTAATGTGTCTCCATGCTTCTATTTTTATGTTCCTTCCTGCCTATGCTTGAATTCTGCAAAAGCCCTGAAACCACGCAAAGCCATCACTTGGAGGCTTATCCTTTTTCTTCTGTATGTTCAGGGCTAGCTCACAGGCTCAACAAGCCCTGCCAAACACTTCCTCTTGAATGCTGCCTGTTTAAATGGGGATTTGGTTCTTATCAGTTCAGTGTTAGATATTAAATAATTACAGAAGTTTTGGTATACTTCACAAAATCCATCACTCCAGCTGAACAAGAGGAAGGGAGTATCAGGTGTGGAAAGATGGCTGCTGTCCTGCCAACCATATACTGAGGCATTCTGGACATTTGGTAGTGGCTTTGTGGAACCAATGTCATTTGTGTGGCAGCAGTGAGCAGCATCCAGGGTGGGCAGAATCCATCTCCCTCTGTGTAAATTTAGCTTCGATAAACCCTTCCCTATTAAGAGAACAGCCTTCAGGCCCAGTGTGCCTTGAAAAAGGAAAAAAAAAAGAGAAGAAGTCATTGTCCTCCTGGGCTATGCCCATCTTGGGTCAGCACCATCCAGTATTCATGATAAACCAAAGCAAATCCTTTGGAACCAGGTCTTCAGGCAGGATGTGCCAGCACCACTCTCCTACAAGATGCTGAGGCTGTGGTGACCAAAGCGGTCGTTTTCAGAGGAGGGTCATTAGAGGGTTTTTCTCTTGAATTGCAGAGCAATCACAAAGAGAGCACAAGGCACTGCAGCCCCCCATGTGACCATTTGTCTGTGAGTGGTGTGTGTCCATTTTAACCAGCAGGCAGGAGTGTAGCTAAACTCCATCCCCAGAGACTTGTACATGAAGGAGGAGCAGTGTAGCCTGGAGCTGTGAGATCTGCATGCCCAAGCAGTAGCACTAGGCATATCTCTGTTGTTCTATGAGATATTCCCTTGATTTAAGAGCCCAAAGGCATTTCTTAGTGCATACAGCCTAACAGTTAGTAAACAATTAACTCCAAGCTGAAGAGTGAATGATTAACAAAGTCAGCCAAAGGACTTCCATATGGCCAATAAACAGGCAGAGAAAATGTTTAACTTATCACGAAAATAAAGAGACCTTAAAGGAGAGTCTGGGAGTGTTTAGTTGCTTTGTAAGAAATACCTCTATACAGTGTTATTCCATTTTCTTCTGTAGAAAGCTAGTGACATCAAAACCTAAGGTGAGCCTTTTTTCTCAGGCTCATAAACATTATCACCGCTCAGATTCTCTGATTGACTGAAGAGAACCCAAAGGGAATAAAGACTTTTTGGAAAAAAATGTGAGGCATCCCAAATGTCAGACATGAATGTAGCTTGACAAAAATTTTCCCTGTGACAAACATCAGTTTCTGCCATTTCCTCCCGGCATTTCTCTGGGATGAAACGAAGCATGCTATGAAAATGCTCTGTCCCTTGCCATAAACTCTCCACAACACTCCATGGATTCTCATTACAGAAAAATTTAATCTGTAGTTTGTAGTGTTTTTGTTGAATCCAAAGCAAAGATTGACTTCCAATTTAAACATGCAAAAACAAGAGCTGAGTTGGACCCATCCTACCAAGCAATGCAAAGTAAAGTAAAGTCAGTAGCTTTAAGTGTTTGATCAAAGAGAAATCACCTGCTTGTCAAAAGCATGAGCAAAGTAATCAGCACATTAACTGTGTCCAGAAAGTGAAAGATTGCTGTCTGATGCCACTTGGCCTTTTTCAAACAAGAGATAGAGTGAACTTTCCCAATTCCAGAGGCAAAATGGGATATTTACACAGGAGGAGCAATAGCCTAATTAAGAGCTGCTTTATGGCAGAACAAATAGATCCTCTCTGCTT